TGAATCAAATTGTGCACGGCCCTTAAAAGGGCCTTCACTAGGTCTCTTAACATTTCTGATTGTCATGAGCAATGGCGTCATTATTATTCCGTTGTCGCGCCGCACATTGGATAATAGAATCCATGGAATTGTGATTGTGGGTCGCAGGCACAAAACAAATGAAACATTGCAATGCAGCGACAAAAGTCCAAGTGCTTCTACCAACAGTTTCACTTGACGGCTGAGCAATATTGTATATGTTACGCAGTCTGTTGTCGTGGGCATCTTCGTCAGTGTCGTTGTCTCGGCCATTGAATTCTTCTGAGATTATTGAAATAATATTATCTTCTTCATTACTTAACGTGGCATCCAAATTCACATTTGTTCGGTAGTTGGGACTTCTCGTCTGCTGAATTACTGGCATTGCTACATCCATGGAAGTGGAGGCTTCCATATGAAACTCAGATGCTCAGGATGACACCACGGTATTGGAGGGCATTGTTCTGTAAACCAATTGATGCGCGAAGTCATAAACAACACTATATTGCTTTTCAGATGTACGCCTAACTAAGGAATACAATATATTTTTTATGCTTGGCTGTCTTAGCTGAACATGGAAGTAATTGTCAATAACCACGCTTGTGAAGTAGCTATCCGATAGTAACCATCTCTCACCAATTACTTCAGTATTCACTTATGTATTAGTGTGTGTACAGTAGGCCAAAACATGACGACATAGCAATCCGTTTTCAGTAGTAAAACTGCACGAAAAACTGATAGGATTTCGGAAGATCGTGTGAGTGCCTGTACTGTCAACAACCGTGAACGAGTTTACTGACGTTAAGACTACAGTTACAGTAATGCGCAAATGACGCTTCAATAGTTGACATACAGCAGGTGTACGTCTTTCTTGAGGACGACGTACTTGGGTTTCCCAACCGATAATTGTTTTGTTACGACATCCAGCTGTATATTTTTAAACTCGTGCTTCCATTCAATATCCAATGCGAAAAAGCACGGTGTTTCTCTAGTGAGTTTGTGCACCTTCAAAATTCAATGCGTTGTCTCAACGAAGTTAGTATTATTTCGTTCAAAGAGTGTCGCAGCCGATCCAAACGTATTTGACCACTTGTGTTTATTATGGAGCAACTGATCTCTTATATGTAGGTAAAAAGTCCTTTCTGATGCTCGAATAAATGAAAGGTAGCTTTGGAAACTATAAAAGACTGTCATGCGTATATATATATATATATATATATATATATATATATATATATATTCAGCTGGTTGAAAAACACTTTGAAGACTGTGACCTATTACCGCTTGATAGTAGAAAATCAAAAATTTTTCAATGGTTTTAATGCTAATACCTTGATAAAAATACAGACTATTAGTAAAATGAAGTTCTTAAAGGTCGGTTTGTCTGTAATCATTATGAACATTTAAAGGACCCATCTGTTTCACTGCTCGTTTCACAGTATCTCTTAATATTTAAACTGAAAAGTATAACTTGAAGATTCTGAAATTTATTGTATTTAGACTGAATTAAGCCTTATATCCGTTTTATTTATTGTGGAACAGAATTCATTGAAATATGCTATACTGTGATGTGTGCTACTGATATAGACAGATATAAGTAGTATGTATCATCAATCGAAAGTGAAATTCCTGGAAGTAGAAGGTTAAGAAGATGGAAAAAGAGAACAAGAACAAAGAATAATTTGTGTGAAAACGAAAGAACAATGAAGTCTGAGACGATTGACTGATATTTGCAAATGGAACAGTCACGTTCGAGACAATTGATTGACATTTAGCAAAATAATTATTTACTGTATGGTTCTCAGATTTTAGTATGTTCTGTAATTTAATGTTCAAATATATTCGATTGTCCTCGCTTGTGTTCTCGTTCACTACAACACTGTTGTATCTAAATAACTACTCGTTAATTTATCGATAAAAATGTCTGTTATTTATGTGTTTATATATGACTGTTGTTTAATTAATTTTTCAGGTAGTCAACTGAAGTTCTGGTGAGAAGTCGTGACTAGTGGAGCTAATCCGTGTCGGGTAGAAACAGGTGTCTACCTCAGTACAATGGAAGATGGTCGCGCAATTTCATGGATTGGTTGAAGTTAGACATTAACACCGTCGGATGCCGGCTCAGTGGTCCAGTAAGTTAAGCGTTCGCGCGCGAAACTGAAGGCCCTGGGTTCGAGTCCCGTGAGCGGGATCATGAACGCGCACTGCTGAGGAGTCCCACAATAGGACGAAACGGCCGTCTAGTGCTTCCAGGTTTTCAATGGTGGTCTAACATCATTCGGTTCATGATCTCAATCAAAGACAACTGAAATGAAATCATCATAAACTGATCAATTAAGCTTTTTAGATTACTTATGAGTAATATAAGGATGTACTCCAAATATTGGATAATAGTTTGTGTTACTTTTTTGGTTGGAAGGATTTCCAAATTTTAATTATTCACCTTTGAAAAACGGCTTATCATTTAGGCTGTTTCTTAAATGAATAGCATTGTTAAATCCTTATAGAGGTTTCAAAGATGAAATTCGTTCAATTGAGGAAAATCATAAAATAAACAATCAAAATTTGCAAACACTGAGCTAATTGTAGTCCTATGGTCAGTTACCCATCAAAACCATAGTCAACTAGAAATTACTTACTACAGGTTTTGGATAAAAAGAAAATTAGATGTACTGAAACCAGCTCAAATAAAAAAGCATTGAATTAATGATCAACATTTTAAGCTTTCGGGGTGTTCTGGAAAGGCTTCTATTACATATTTCAATTAATGAAGCTACATGGTCTAAATAATGCTATCGGATAATTTTTTTCTTTTTCTGGAGTAACTAGCACACCCCTTTTAATTAAAATGTAAGTGAAAAAGGTTTTTACTACATAAGAATTCTCAGTTATAGGGCGGTGCTGTCTCCTGATATTCCGAGACTTAGTAAAAAATAAAATACTGGAAGGATTAAACATATTTAGTGTCTTTTTTTATATTATAGGTCTAAATTCATCCTGACTGCCTATTAATTCACTCAGTCATATCAAACACATGTATTTGTCATCAAAAGATATCATCAAGAACTAAAAATTTTAAATTGACGTCTACATTTTAAAAATGTACAAATCAATCGACATGAATTTAATTTGTAGTAGATAAGATTATCTAGTTGTTGATGCTTCGACTGAAATTTAATAAATCTTAGTTGGTATATGATCATGTTAAATGAATTGCCTTGGCGAAACTATTATATTGCAAATCCTTATTGAACAGACGGAATGTAGTTAGTAGTGGAGTCCAGGACACATGTTTCATCCTATTTGGGACTCATCAACTGGATTCACTGGCGTCCGAGTTAGTGTTTACTCCAGGATTTAAACCCAGTACAATCTACTTCTAGTAAATTCCAAGAGAGTGAGTATTTATTTTGCAATCTTGGGAAATCTGTTTTGCTGTAGACTAAATATACTATTCAGTTAGAACCATTTTTGAATAACAGTGTTCAGTTCGACATTAAAAAGTTTATTATTCGAAAGTTAAATCCGTCTGATAATTTAATCTAGACATCGACAAAATGAGTTTGAAGTCTTTGTTATCATATAACCACAACTACATTTTATGCTAAAAACATGGGGGTAAATTTGTCGAATCTTGTTTACTTCGTGAAAATCTCTCATAATTTCATTTAATCAGGGACTTTTGGATTATTAGTAATTACTTTATGGTTTTAATTGATAGAACTATGACTTTAAGACAATAAAAGCCAGTTTTGTCGATCACAAATTCTCCCGAATAAGTTGGATAGCCTATCAGTCTTCATTAGGATCCCAAATCTTTGATGACACAAATCGAGAATTTAAAGACAATAATTTGCTTTTTATTTCACTACCTAAGCACAGTCATTTATTCAATATGTTCATTAAAGGGTACGGTACTAACCAATTTAGTTTGTTTTATTAGGAGACATTCGGTCTTGTGTGATCAGATCAAGTTTAAATAATCTAGCGACAATAACTGTTACCTATAGGCTAAATGCTACTCGTTAAAATCCTCTAGAAGACAAGGCTAGAAGTGTCACTGTTGACTGACTTTGCTAGTGAATGTATCCGATATATGATGTACCCCGAATAAATTAAATGATGAAATTTTGTTTCGAGAACCTAGTAGTCTCAACATTTAACTCTGCAATATTTAGCCATCTTGAAACAATCCTAATGGTAATTGTTTTCTTGAAGTCTGCATGGATCTTAGTTTCACCATATATGTTCGATCATATCAACAAATAAATGACAGATTAAGAGTGACTACAACAGATTTTTCAAGCAAACACTAATATAACATGAGAATGAGTGAATTCGATACACTGGAACTGTAATCAAGTTAAAAGTAATATTTTCAAGATGGAAAGGTTTCGTCAAATGAATTGTGATAACAGAAGCAAATAGCTAAAAGATTCTAGAACTTAGGTTAAGTGAGTCACTTTCTGCATATATATATGTATATATATATATATATATATATATATATATATATATATATATATATATATTTATTTATTTATATATATATATATATATAGCATGCAGAACAAATCAATATAATATATTGTCTTATAAAACACTGCTGTGACTCTTGGTACATAAAATTTTATGACTGCCAATTTCTGATTCAAATGAGATCAATGAATGCTTTATAGTTTATTTCAAAGGTAGAAATTATTAGATAAGTAATGTAGAACAAATGAATCAAGAGAGATTCAGAACAAATATGACAATTCTGAAATATTAGTCATTTAAAGCATAATAATGGTTTATCTGTGTTCAGATAAATAGTTGTAGTAGTATGACAAAATATTAGCAAAATACTTTTGTCATCCTGATCAATATTATAAACGTTAAAAAACAATTCAGTATGACCAAAAACACTTAAATGATCTGAAAAATGCTTCATGAGAATCTGTGTATTGAGCACTGAATATTCATCTTGCAGACCTTTATAATCAAATCCCATCCATTTCAAAGTCAGCGACTGAACTGTTCCTATTTTCACTATCCACTAGTTCAACTCCTGGACTATTCAAAGTTGAATTATTATGATGACCGCCAGTAGAATTTAACCATTCTTTAATGTGTTCTGTAGATGATTTTGACGAATGTGAAGTTGATGATAATGCCGATGTGATTTTATTCAACTCATTCAAGTTAGTTCTTAGACGAGATTCAGATATTTGAAGAGATCTTTCTAATTCAGCGATAGTCATTTCTTCTATGTTACCATTATTTACTTGGATTTCCGCTGTTCCATCCTAAAACAAAATGAAAAGATTAATATCCATTGGTGTTTTGGTTGATAATACAAATTACAATGACACTCACAACTTATATGTAACAATTTCGTTAGTATACAAATTATTTATAGCTGAGGATTGATTCAGCGCTGTAGTAGTTTGGGAAAGAACGCACATTTTTGAATTATGATTATGATATTCTATTAAATACACTTTGTATAGCTTGTTTAGCGCCTTTCGTTATTTTAAAGCAAAAGATGTTTGAGAATATGATGCTTTTCATTGACTTTATATTCAGGGCCTACAATTATACATATATAATTGTAACGCAGCTATGGCCAATACAAGGCATGTATACATAAGCTGTGATTGAATAAATTAATCAGTTTTAAGTCTATTACGGCTTGAGTACTCAACACCACCTGGTCATTCGTGTCAGTACCAACTTTGTAAGTGAATATCCACATTTTTACTTGTTAACAGAAAAATACGTATTGAATTGTAAAATAGTAAGTGAATTTATATCACATAGTCCTATTCTATTTATATTTATTCATATCTTCATTTGCTTATCGAAATATTTTCGTTGTGTTATAAATTCTATGACATAGCAAATAGGTCAGTGTAACTTTCGTAATTTCATACATTTAGCACTAGAAGTTTGTAGTTGTACTAGTTTGGGACTATTCAGTAATGAGCGTTTATCTACTATCACTCCGAGAGCAATACAAACATACTAATAACTGACAGTAACCGTATAACCACTCACCATAATGTAGTAAACTCTTGTAAGCGCATATTTGCAGTAATAATACACTGGTGCGGGCGACTGTTCGTCTCCCCCTTATTAGATTCAGAAAATCGCCTCAGAAATAGAGTTTATTTTATAGTTCTTTTATTTCCAGAGGTGCTCATTCTGTAACAAATACTGTTTTAAAATTACACTTATCTTCACCAAATTTAATTAGGAACAACATCATCTTGTTCACCAGCAAGCGACATTCAGACTAGATTATGATAGCTTTATAATTCAGTACAATACTTCTGGCTTTGAGTTAGACTTTTTCATCCTAACCAATCTTTTATTTAATTACTACCATTTTTATTGCTAACATAATTGTGGCTACTTTACAATTATTTTTCAATAATTAACAGTTTTATCATTTTATCTACTTCATTCTCAGCCAATTTGACATATCATTTGTACTCAGTTTTATCGTTATCTCCCTTAGCAATTCAGGTGTTTATTGACATGGAGAGCCAATCAGAATTAGTCTAATGAGGTCAGTGAATGGCAGTCAGAAGTGACCTTGTGGTGTGTGCTCCTTATGTAGACATAAATAGTATATGACGTGAGTCGTGAACAGAATGTCTGGCAGCAGAGAGACAAGAAGATGGAACAGAAAAGAATGAAGACAGAATGCAATTTGTATGGAAATGCAAGAACAAAGGATTTCGGAGTCATTTGCGACAGTTGATGGACATTTTGCAAATTGAGCATTTACTATATGGTTGTTAGATTTTACTAACTAGTTCTGTAATTTGTTGTCAAATACATTCGTTTGTCCCCACCCGTGTTCTTGTTCACTACAACCTAAAAGATGAGTGGATTTCATTAGTTGAGGAATGGTTCAATTTCACAAGGATTAGAGTAGTATATGTATGGATGAGTATTTGTGCATTTTGTTCGGTAGATCAATACACTTTCTCGCTCAATTAGTCGGATTGAGAGTTAGCGCGTATTACACAGCATATCACTATTAGATTTTGAACGCCTCCCGTCACAACATTTATAAACTGAACTTTTATGAAGATGCTATAGTAATATTAGGATTTATCCCAATTAGTGAAGTAATTGATTTTACTGACCTATAAAATTACAACTATATAGCAGTTTTTCAGCTTATAAGAGTCCCTGCGTATGTTAAAATTGTAAACCCATGAAAATGATCGTGCTTCATCGCAAAATGTTTGTTGAACTTAGTTTAAGAAGTCTACTGAGAGAATTTCACGGTGATGACATTACTCAAAACAAATAGTTCAATGTATTTTCGTCATTATTCTTAACCCAGGTAGGTTTAATGAACCTAAGTGGCTGAGAAGTTCAGTTAAGCTTGGATGTCACTCCTCAGTATCACTCAAATGAAACGATCCACCCATCCGATCGATGACCAATAATCTAGTATCTCACTCATCCACTTTCGTGTACGATCAAGGAAATCATTCCTCCGATCACTGCCTTATCAACACAATATATGGGTTCTCCTAAGTACAATATTTAACACAACTTGGGGTCAGCATCGCTTTGTTCTTCTGTATTTTATTAGTGGGCCTCATTATTGGCTTACATACATCTGGATTATACACCACATCATGTTCAATCACACATCCAAACTCATTCGATCAAAACTTATAAGCCTTCCTCCTCCACCTTATCCCTTTTTCGGGAGGAAACACAAAGTCACTGATCTTATTTTTTCTAAGTTAACGGCGTGAGAACTAACATTTCCAATTCCTAGTTCATTCAAGGAACTGCCAGCGATAAGTAAATAGGTGCTTCAAACTATTAGCTTTTGTCTCTAGTGTCGCTGAATCCCCTTATATGACCCTCCTTAACACTGTTTACTGACGTGTATCACTCTCATTTCTAGTTTACAGGGATAGTATTACCACCCAATTTCCATATCCTCCTGAATTTCATAATGTGTTACCTTACTTGTACTGTTTTTATTGGCAATAATTCTGTTTTTATTTAACATTACTTAATAGCATCTGTCACAGTGGTTTGTAGACCTTTGATTGTTTTTGTCTGAAATTATTGATTTAATTGACCCCCTTGTCACAGGAGTTTATTTCTCATTTGTTGGAAGCATCTATTGTTGTTGACAGTTTTGGTTATTCTCTTTGAAGTGAATTAAAATAATCTATCTGTCGGGATAGAACTGCGTTTTCTACTTGGCAAGAACATCGTTATTTTGACATGATTCCATAGGGGTCTAAGTATATAAATTACTAAGCTATTCATCATCGCACACTTTGTCACCTAACTGCTGTGTTTTTGTTAACCCGTCGGTGAGTGTCTAGCGAACTAGAATATTTGGTTGTAAAGAACATGAATCTGGAACTCAAAAGTTTCAGAACTTCACAGTCTGCTCTATTGAAGGGAAGCTCCTGAAATCTTAATTCTACTTTTGTCTCTATTGTCTTCTTTTCTTGCTTCAGTGGTGTTTTTGAGCTTCGAATAATTTATATGGGTTAGTTTCAAATTCCGATTCGGAAAACCCTCGCGTTGGGAAAACTAGCCAGAATATGGGAGCAGATATATAAGCTGGTCCAGAGTGCACGAAACAAATCAGATAACCATTTTGGTCGGTCAGTAAACTGGGATATTAGTTGGCTTATATAAAATGGGATCATTTGAATACAAAGTTTAAACATTGATAAGTAAGTTGTCGATAAACACCTTACTCAGAACTGCAAGATATTTACTGTGTGAAAACAGCATTAAGAACTTATGAGAATATTTATAGCCACTGAGGTGAGATCTTTCTCTAGTCTCCTAAGAGTTCTCTGTTTATGGTGCACGTAGTAGGACGAGTTTATTTCATTAAATATCACGTTGAGCAATAATGTTAAGTAACCTTTACAAAGTAGCAGACTGTGATGCCAAAAAGTAACTCATACTTCACCGTGAACGACTAGTCTTGGTTCAGTGTGTTATGCCTTTTCATTGTATCCCGTAATTATAAGTATTTTCATGTCACTATTAAACTACTAATATGGATACTGGAACAGGTAATTTCGAGATTCCGTTGATAAGTTCAATACTGATCTGTTAACTGTGTGCAAATAGGCACGAAATATGAGCACAGTTGACTTTACGAGCTATGAACCGTTCTGCGATTGTCGAGCTTAAAAAGCTTAGCGTGTTATCAATGATTATCATTCGAACTACAATCCTCAATCACAATAAAATCTGTAAGAATCTTAATCAAATATAATGCTTCCGACAACCACTTGGTTTCAAAGCAATGTAAAAAAACAGAAAGCAGTCACTTTGACTTTCGTACACTGTATGTTGATGCTGCACATAAATCAGTCATGTGTGAAATTTCGTATCTTAAGAAGTGTCCCGGAAACAATATATAGAGCGGCATTGCATTACAGATGCGCTACAATAGGTACTAGAATATGCTCAACCCTTGTCCTGCTGAAGGTAGGATTAACACCCCCGAGGAGGATAAAAGCATACCATGTTCGGGACTTGGAGAGACAAGCGTAGGAGGTTGCAGACTCTTAGAGTTGCAATTCGAAATGAGTAGCGTAATGTAACTACCTCTACTCTAACTGTGTCCCAGACACAGTTACACTAGACTGACAGACTGACGCCATTCGGATTCCAGGCAGAAATGGAGTTAGTCCAGTCCGATCCAGAAGATAAAAGTGTGCATCTGCAAGGCCATGTATTTCTCCTGTTATTGACTAATCTTTCGGAAAGTAAAGCAGTGTTGCTTTGAGTGTATGAAATTACGTAATGTTGTAATACCCTGAAGTAGACTCTCAAGGAAGTGAGTAACAAGGTTAGGGACAAATGATAAGTCACCATTTCTCATTGGAAGAACAACAGTTTCAGATACTGAGTCGGTGTTATGATTTCAAGTTAGTGGAAAAAATATATTTAAATGCAGCTAATCAGTGTATTAAAATCCACGCAGTTTTAAAACCGTTATTGATTTTTTGTTATGTAAATATTATTAGTCCCGTTACATTATTATTTTTATATTCAAATTATGATAGCCTATGTTACTGATATTATCGGAAAGATACAGAATGCTCAGGTCCGACCTTTGACAAACACTAATCAGTCCCGCTGACTGATTTGTGTACATTCCTGATAAAAGCAGGAGAATGTACTTGCTAAAAACGTTGAATTTACACCTTACAGATTGATAGTGATGAAAGGGTATTATCAGTCGGGACCTGGAAGCCTGTGGATAATAGTAAGTTTACGCTCTAATCATTAAGAATCTTGAGGTAAGATTTTGAATGTCTACCTAGCAAGATAATTATCTATTTGCTGTTATTATTCACCCATAAGACTATCACTGGAGTCAGCTGCCCATATCTACAGAGGGAGACAAACTTCCAAATTGTGAGTTGTGGACTGACTATCGGCTGGTTAACTAATAACTTTTACAATATTTATTGATCCAGTAAGACCATCGTGCTCAATTCTTGGCAAAGATTCTACTAGTAAACATGGTCAAAAATAAGGTCACATAAAAGTTTTCATCGTTCGAACTGATGCAAATATACTGTACTTTATCCATTGCTGACTGAAAATAGAATTACATGATGATGGTCCTGAACTCATAGATAGTGACTAGTGGAATCAACCGCTTAAGCCCGTAATTTACAAAGTCGATAGAATACACCAGAGGTTTAGTTATCGAGGTATCGACTGTTAGACGTTAGAGGTTACCATGTATGACAAAAGACCCGATGTATCTTGGTGTGAAACTATTGCTGGATTTATATTAAGCTACTCACTATGGGCTAAAAATTTCACGTATTGAGGGGTTATGATACAGGAAGTAGCATAAACTTTAAGTCAACCCATAACTTATGAAATCGTGGCTAGCTAGTTACTAAAACCCTACTTATGCTTGAAAATAAACTGGTCGTTCGGACACAACAATTACAATTAAAAAATACACAGGCTAATCGAAAAAACTCAAATTTTAAGCACTCACGTCTAGATAGGTTTCTTGGGCTTCAAATATTCCATTTGTGTTACATCCATCACCAGTATTGGTAGTCAAATTATGAGGAAAATCAAGGTAGCTTTCTGATATATCATAATAAAATTTGTTCTGTTCGTCATCTAGGATAGACAAAATTTGGGTGAAGAGACCACTGCAGAGAGGAGAATCGACATTAATGTCATTAACTGTCTCTTCTGTTTGAACAGCTATGGAAGACATGGATTAGTTGATAATACAACAACAATGTGGTGTACATATAGGTGAATGAAAGGTAGGCAAATCCTAACACGTGATTGGTCGGCAGTCATAATGCATATCATTTGAAAACAGGCAAAAGGACCTTTTCAGTTAACTACAAGAAAACATTCATGAGAATGTAATCACTAAATAACTCGCAGAAGTGTATTTCAATTGTTCGAACCATTACTTTCATCACGACTGTTCAAACGTCCTCAGGATGATAATATCTACAGTATCAATTAAAGAAACATATAAAAATGGATAAACATGGCAAATAAAAAAAGTTGATTTGTTTTGTTATTTTAACATCCGCTCGTAGTACATCACCTCTGGCGCCATTTTGGTCCGATTGTCTAAAGGTTGGTTCTACTAGTGTACTGGTTTTATGTCTGTCTAGGTATATTAGCATGATGCGCCCGTTTATTGATTCTAAGGCTGACCAGGATAAAAAGTTGTTCATCGGTGGTTTAAGTCCTAAAACCGACGAGAACTCACTCAAAAATTATTACGGTCAATGGGGTGAAATCATTGATGTTGTCGTTATGAAGGATCCTAGATCTCAGAAGTCTCGAGGGTTTGGTTTTGTGACATATAAGGAATCCTCGTCCGTTGATGCTGCACAAAACAATCGCCCGCATACTGTAGATGGAAAGGAGGTGGATACCAAGCGTGCCATGCCCAGAGAAGAAACAAGTCCTGAGGTCCATGCTGCAGTAAAAAAAATATTTGTAGGTGCTTTAAAGAAGGATGTAACAAATGAAGATCTTAGTGATTACTTTTCTCAATTTGGGACCGTAACTGATGCGCAGATTGTTATAGCTAAAGATACGAATACATCTCGGGGCTTCGCATTCGTTACTTTTGATGACACAGATGCAGTAGACAAAGTTATTTTAGCTCGACCACATACTATCAAAGACTCCAAAGCAGATGTACGGAAGGCGCTCAGCCGAGAAGAAATGAATAAAATGAGATCAAAACCTGCACCTATGAGAGCAGATTATAACGGTGGTGGCTGGCACGACAATGCAAACGGCGGTTTCCAGCCTCAGTCATGGGATCAGGGTTATAATCAACCTTACGCGCACCAACAGCCTTATGCTTATAACGGAGCAGGCTATGGTAAGTATCCAGATTTGTTGCTAACATTACGCTTAGGTTATGGTGGTTACGATGGAGGTTGCCCTGCAGGTGGTTGGCCTAATGCTTCCGATGGATTCGGCAATTATCAGCAACAAGCCTATGGTGGTGGTCCAATGAGGGCGACACCTACAAATGCACAATATTCCCGTCCTGCTCCATATTCCGGCAATGGTTGGCAACGCTGAAGTTAATTTTGTTATTTCAATACCAAACGCCTAGTGCATTTTGACAACTTTTTATCACTTGCTGTAAAATATACAAATCAGTTATTCTGCTATTGCCTTGTACTCCCAGCCGCTTGATGCTAATGTTGAGAAGCTAGTTAGGTCGCTATTGGAAAAAGATAAGGTATGGCACATTTGCGATTCGTCACAACGATTCCCAGTTGTATACTCAATATGGAGAGGAAGCTCCCGTGAGACTCCATGAAGAACTGGATTGTGTTGCAGCAAGGAGGTTACAATCAATTCAAAGGTGGTCAGCAAACAAGGTGGGTTTGAAGCTAGCGATTTTGGGTTGCACTAATTCTGTTCTTAAGCAAGAATTAGATGTCACGTACCAGTTTTCAAATTGTTAAGTCTTTAAAGATTTACTAAGTTAAGCATTTGGAATTTTAGTCTTTAGGTATATAGGTTGGTGTTTCTGTTTGGACGTGCGATTCAACCTCTGTAGTACTTATAGTTCTTAGACCTTTGTACTGCTTTCATGTCGTCGAACCGGGTAGTAGTGTGTTTCTTTTATGTGCGCAGCGTGCCGATACCTGAGAGGTAATAACCATATCGTCTTTAAGCCTCCTTAAACACAAAATTCCAGTTACTTCGTTTCCGATAAGTAAACTTAAAGTATTTCTGTATCAAGTTCTAGCTGCTAATAGAATAATTGAAAGCATTTCGTGATTTAACTAATCAAATGCTTTCGTCATCCACTTGTAGACGGTGAGCTGGACTCCCTACCATCTGGCTTAACGCGAGACGATTGCAACCAAATTTTCACATCAATCGACGCAACTGATGAATCCGTTGGTTTTCTACACCATGTTTGTGTTTTGTTTAGGGATATTGGTGAATAAAAGTTCTTTGTTTCTACCTGAAAGGATTTTGTTTCGAAGTTTTTGAACAATATAACAGATACATTTTGAGAGATAAAAAGCATTCTTTTCTCTCTTGTAGTTAGTGTTGCCACTATTTAACCCAAGCTAGCACTGGCAATTTCACTAAATTCGTGTATGTGCTGAAGTATTCGCGGCTTAGTGTATTTGTCTGGGTCATACTAATAAAGCGGTAACTTCCATCAGTCGCTACAATATTGTAGTTACCCAAGTTTTATTGTAGATATTAAGGACTGCGCATGGTCGCTTCACTAGTTCAGTTGGTGTTCAGAATGCTGTTTGAATGAAACAGGGTGAACTTCTGCTCGTGTAACATTACGTAGTTTATTGAATAGTCTACTCTGTACATGCGTTTAATTAAAACCAATGTGCGTTAGTCAGCATTATTAGTCGAGCGCTCAGTACTGCCATGATCGTAATGTCATCATGGTAATTGCGTTGCCATAGGCCGACACTAGTCTTGGTTTTCAAATAAATACGGGCTATACTTTCCCTGGTAGTTCTTAAAGCAAATTAAGTTCACTCTATATTAAGTCAGATATAAATAGTAAATGTGTCACCTATTCGAGAGTTTTCAGAAGGACAAAACGAAATGTGATGTAGATCTCGATGTTTAATTGAGATAATAAGAAATTAATATGATGTTAAATCTACTTAAAAGTATTAGAATCATAACATAAACCACCTGGGTTCGAAAGGACTGGGGTTAACATCACTTTATTCTTGCCCCAATATAGTCAACCTCGTTTGTTTAAAGAACTTAATTGCTGTGAGCAAATGCCGATCAAATTTGTTACTATTAAGGACTTTTTACTTGAATTTCATTTGTATTTTGACCGGAACCGGTATATTTCGAGGTCTACTGGTTTCTGTCACATCGATCCCCAAGGATTTCCTAACTAGTTCTGGGCGCAGTATTGCATTGAGGTATATTCAGTCAGGCTCCCTTATGTATTGAGTGCTAATCACTATATTTTTTGTCCAATGACAAACCAGTCAGCTCATTTGTGTATGCTTCTACATATTGGTTTTATTAAGCGAATTTTGTGAAGTCTTCTGTATTGGTTATGCGCTACCGAGTTGTTCATAATTACTAGATTTTGTTTCCTAGCTTGATATAACGCTTCCCATATTAGAAATCATAACCAGTTCAGAGTCAGGCACAAATAATAGTCGGCTCAGGTTCACAATTTAGCGAGCATCAGTTCACAAAATGAAAGTGAGAGTATCAACGATGACATAAACTGAATATAGGAAATATAATTCAAAAGTAACAAAATCGCTCTGGGAGTAGTATGAGGTAATACTGTTTTGGTTTTCATGAGAGAAAAGTGAACAACTGCATAAGACCTTTTCAGCTGAGAACCCTGGGAGCTCTTACCGTAGGCTACTACTATCTCGCGGACCACAAATACGAAGTCTGGATTACGCGACTCAGCTGGACGCCCGGTGGCGAACAGATCTCAAGTGTTTATGTGCCCCAGTCGCTAAGTTCCCAGATAGAAGATAATCTTCAAAAAATTGTATTGACTCCATGTATGTATATTTATGTTGAATAGGTGGTTTTGAATAATTCCTTTATGCTTTAGAGAGCGCTGCATTATAGTTTTGAACTTCATCCTTGATGTTTAGCATTCTTCCATAAAAATAACGTAAAGAATAAGTGATATTTACATCAATAGCTCGTTTGGTTATGTGGTAGTTAAGATGTTCTTAGCACCGTTTATAGATATTCCCAATTCATGCGCTCATCATATCACCTGTTCATTACCAAAATGAAAGAATCTGGATATACTATTGACTAAGCATGCGTGGGAACATATTTAACATGTCAAACATAATCTGGAAATGAATAGGAACAAGTTAAGCAGTTTGAATATTCGTTTCTTAAATCAGGTTGAATCGATACAATTGTGATCACTTGGCAATATATAGTTTAATCTAAACAAATTGTAAGAGTGGATGTATAAAGTAGTAAACAAGAATTTCGTTTAAGTTAGTAGGGTGATTTGCGTCAAAATGTATATTGGTTTGAAGATAAGCCATCAACTTTGAATAATTATTCGATCTCATTTGCATGGTAATAACAATAAATAAAAGCTACGGGAACGGTATCAAACTCATCTGTTATGTCCCTATCATAAGGTTATAATCGATTTAGAAGAAGTGATTTCAACTGTTACTCGTTCTTGTGTGCCCATCACTTACCAATGTTTGTGACTTGTTTCTCTTGCATGATGAAACCATGTCGACTTCAGTCCTGGTATCGTGAGTTGGTGTATTAACTAAACATTATTTAGAAAATAATTGAGCGGATCGTGCTATTTATGACATATACAAAAGTACCACGTTGAATCTTCAAGACTTGGCGAACTCTTGGTTGCAAAAGCAGTCTGGTATTGTCAGTGCTCCGTCAATTCTTGACTGTTGTTCTAAATGCTCATATAACAGGACGCTTAGCTCAGAATAGTTATAAGTTCTGATTTCGAGCTGGTGATAGATATGGGTGGTAGGAATCTTACGATTATAAACCTGTTTTTACAACAAAACTTTATTCCATTGACTTATGGACTAAGCATTTCGGTTAGTATCTGCTCCCCCCCTTTTTTTTCGAAGTTTTGATTTTCAGGCAGTACCATGTGCTTCAAATATGATATTAAGTATCATAATAAAGATTGAGTAAAATCAACTGTTTTCGTTAACGCTATTGAAGGCTATCATAAGACCTACACTTAATCCCGTTATTTATCCCTGTTGCATTTAAATTTACTATCGTTATTAACTTAATGATCTCCGGTCCTGAAGTACAAATCATTCTGTTTTTTATACAGTTCGTAACTAATCAGGAACTGACAATCGGATTTTGTAAATGTAGCACTTCATTTTATCTCATGAATTACTTTTCCAGCACATACCTAAGACCGTCTGTCTAGTGATAGACAGTCATTAGAAGTCGAAATATTCGTGAATGTAAATTTGAGAGTCTGGAGAACTGTGCTGGATGTAGTTTTTTACAGTGAAAATTAATCTGTGTCATTTGAAACAATCTTAATTTTAGTCTACTTTCAAAATATATCCACTCTTCAGTAAATGCGGTTCTCTTTTACACCTGAGCTGTGGATATGCGACAACCAGGTACTCACTTAAATTCGAGTCTATTTATTCTCTTGTGATAACGCTATATAGGCAATTCTATGGCCTCACTCTATATTTGGTCATCACACAATTTGCATTTCGACAAGTTAGTCGATCTTGGCATTCTGATGTTCGTATTTGAATCCCCTAGCGAATGTTATCTCGGTAGCTTTTATGATAACTGCTGTGTTGAAACCGGGTCTATTTGGGTAGGATTGTGTTTGGTTAGAATTCATAGTTCTGGTTTCTGTGTGTGGGATCCTAAAGACACCGTTTAAAGCTAATAACTAAATGCAGTGATGAGGGTGCTGTAGATTTATTTTTTAATTTTGAACTTGACCAAATCGATAGTGGAGGCCTTTTAGATGTATCGTCTATGGATAAAGGTTTCTGTTATTCTTCCAACTAATAATTTCTTAATCTCTATTTTTCTTGCACATTTCAAATATATTTTAAAAACAAATAAGTCCCTAAGAAACCCGTTCTCATACTGCTCGGTTGTACTTTTCTGGTTTATATTATATTAGTTTTTTTCAACTTGATGTATCATTGGAAAGTGTTATAACGTGAACCATTACATACTAAATGAAACTTCATTTACCAATCATTTATAAGTTCCTTCCTTATGGACATCTTGAAAATACTTTATGATTCTGAAGGAGAATACAGAACAAGTCAAGTAGAGAAAAATAACTTCCAATCACCAGTTTTTCCGATGGCCATGATCATAGGTAGTAAACACTGCTTAACTTAGAGAGATAATCATTTTCTATTACCAGTTATTGATGATCGGTAGCCCAATGGTTCTCGAAAGTTGGAAATACAGTTATTTAGATTATTTTTAAAAGGATAGAAGTAATTTATGCTTTAAAAGTCAACACTGAAATTTTACTGATTTATGAGGAGAAAGTACATTGATGATTTCACGATTAACTGACAGTC